AGACTTCCATTGCTGCCAAAGGCTGAATAATTCTGAGAATAAGTTGCGCATTCTTCTATGTTGAAATTAATGCCCGGGTTCAAACTATTTCCTTAATCAATTTTGTTCGAGGAAGAACTTAAATTTAAAAGTCCAAACTTTACCAATTAGAATTCCTTCTGAATCCTTTTCTATCCCTTTTATGAAGAGATTATTCAATTCTAAACATAAAAACTAGAATATTAAACGCTTGTTAGCCGCTATTAAGCCTAGTTTAATATGTTGTAAATGTAATATGTAAATATCGAAAGGTTATGTTTATAAAAATCTGAACTGGTATATTATTGTCAATTGCAGTAACAAAGTTTGGAGGAAGCCACAAGTTCGTACTTAACTACATACATGAAATACTTTAACGTGTATATGTCTAAAGGGTTGGAAAGTTTCTAACCAACATAATCACTCATCCAACATTTTAATTTACTAAAAAAGGTTTAAAAAAAGTTTTGTAATTTAAACTGACATATTTACATCCTCGGCTCCCTAGAAAAGGAAAACACCGTCTTTGTAAAAAAAGAAGCCCACTCCATTTAATTCAATAGGGATGCCCCCGGTATGTTAAACCCTTGATCTTTGGGAGGAGTTGAAAGGGTCCTGGAACTGGAGCTGGATCAATCTACTCCGAACATAACAAACAAAGTCCCTCCCGAGGGTTACTTCAGGTCGAATGTAAACAACTTGTGTTTAACTACTTACGCATATAGATCTTATATTGTATCAAGTAAGTAATAAGAAAAAAAGGTCGGTTATTGATTCTTGCCTCTTCAAATTTCGACCGTCGCCGATAAACAAACTGTACAACTGATAGTGTTCTAAAACAATGTGAAAAATGAAAGATGGTTTTTTTTAAGATCAAGTTTTAACGTATATAAAGTTAGAAGTATTTACATATTCTGTTTTTCCCAAGTCTCTTATTTCGCTTATCCTAATAGTTATATATTTAACTTTTATTAATCAATTGGTTAGAAAAGAAACAACTATTTATTAAAATATCGTCTTGGCGAAGTTTGACACGCATTTAGTTTTGTCATTTCCGTTTATTTTTGGGCCGCGTATTCTTGTTGTTTTTGTCTTTCAGACAGGTTTCGACTACTTACCATCTTCAGTAGGGGGTTTGTGTCATTTTGTTTTGCCTGACTGAGCCAAAATTATCGAGGAACGACTACAAACTAATCACCTTGCAATTTTATTGTGATTTTAAATTTTTAGTGAGTAAAAATTTAAACGGTTCAACCACTCCATACTAGCTAGACTAGCGCCAACTGCTTAACCTTCTACCGCCATATTATTTAAATAGAAACTAGAGCAACTGCTCACCGGTTGCTACAAGGAGAACCACACCACCAAAGATAGACTACGTTATTGAACAACTAAAACTGCTGGTTACAGACTTATGCCGTATATACATTAGGTACACCGGACGATTTACAGGACCCTAGGACACCATTAAGGCCATTTTTTTCTGGTATAATGACTGCTCAAAAATCTGAGAAAACATAGGACCCGGAGTTGAAGTATTAAAGCCAATGACTGAGCTGAATATAAATCTAGGTAGATACTCTACTACTTCCAGTTAGCAATCATAGCAAATGAATATTCCAGTAAAGATAAAAAGCTTAGAATCCAATCATAGACGATAGCCATACTCTCTGACGGTCAGGCTTACTAAAAAGTTTATCCTCCTAACTTTATGGAATCATAAGGTAGGAGTCATTGACAATAATGTTCTGACTTCTCCTGGGCTCCCGGGCACTCTGCACAAGGGTGATGAGCAGGCTAACATACATGACAAGAATGGAGCAATTATGATTATTTGGCTGGCAATATTCGAAAAATAGATCATTATGAGTCGAAAACCTGATTGATCGACTTCCCAGGGATGAAACAAGGGAAGATTTTCATATAGGAATAAACAAGAACAATTGTAGAAAGGCAAGAAATATAAAACTCGGACTCAGGCAAGTGTCCAGACTGGACACATTCGATGTTAGCGTAAAGCTCTAGGCGTATTTCTGCTGACCGGTCGAGGACAAAGCGTCAGCTGTCTCATACACGAAAGAATCAAGCTATGGAAACGGATTAACAGCTGACTAGTGACCTGTATCAAAAGAACAGGGGCACAATAGCTTCCTTTAGGTAAAGGTGCTTTGCCGTCACCCCTTCAATCCCTATTCTAATCCTACAATTTGTAATTATCAGATACATCTCACCTTTACAATTTATTTGTGTAATGGCGTGATATTATGAAGGTTGAGGAGAAACCAAATTTCTGTAAACAAACACTTTTGTTTTTAGAATAGAAATGATGAATATATCAATCAATCAACGATATATCAATAACTGAAATTTCTGTTAAATCTAATAGTCAAATAAAACGAATTAAACAAACACTAAGTCTTTAAAATGTTTACAAGAGTAATAACAAAATGAAATTCCTGATTATAGATGTAATTGCTACAAAAACAATAAAAATTAGGTAATAAACAGAATATACCGTGACTAAGGTCTACTAACATGATCAATCTCAGGAGAAAATGATTCGAGGGCTTATAGAGGAACTTTGTATGAAATAATGTCCGTGAATGATGTAAGTTTAATGAAATTCATAAATGAGTAGGGACTCTACGATTACTGTGATTACATGCAGAGGAATACACGTCTTACAGGGCGTAGGGTAAAATACACCCCGACAACCTACAAAATACGCTTTTATTTTTCTTGATAAAATTAAATTTGGTGAATTAATAAAATTTTAAATTAAATTCGGGAATTCTTGAAACATGAAAACCGCAAAGATTCTTGAATATTAAGAGGGAAAAAAACAGAAGAACACAGACTTTTCATGAAATCAGCTATAATCTTTTTCTGTTTAAACCTAAAACATGTGTTTATAAACACATATGAACAATTTTTAGTCCATAGGATTAAATTGTCTAGTAATATAAGTAGTAAATTTGGGTTAGTAAATTTTTGGCCCGGATGTGAGGTAGACATTAAGGATAACAATTCTCAATTTGCCCCACAGAAATAATTCACGTAACGGGAAATTGTGCAGGACAAATCCTCCGCAGCGGAAATTAACTAAAACAAATCGTCCGTTTCAAAGACCGTTGACCTCACTCTGCAGCGGTAGCTCGGATAAAAGTAAGGGCCATTATCTCCGGCGCCAGGTTTTCCCTTTCCATCGACTTTCCTGTAAACAAGTCTCCTGAATATATACGCTTGCCGCAGGGGGCCGTTGATATTCATTTCTTGGACAAGTTTCCAAAGTGATACCCTTCCTCAGTCAACCTACAGAAATCTACAAGTGGCTCCTTCGAGTTTACTAGAAAGAACGACACTAAAGTTTTGACACTCAACACCTTTAACTTAAATACTAAAATTACACTAGAAATTGAATTGAATTAAATATAGTAGATTTATTTTCTGCCTACATTGAGGCATATAACATAATAATATAGATATAATATATAACATAATACATAACATAATATATAACAATATATAATAATAACATATTATATAACATAATAATATAGAAAAGAAATGGCTAAAAAATGATTTCGAAGTAAACTTTATCAGGAAAGTAAATTTAAAATGTTCGATTTGTACAAAATAATCATCTGAAAGTTTTAAAATGTAGCCGCCGTTTACATCAATTAAGATATAAGATATACATTAGTTCGTAGGGAGAATTTTTTCTTTCTTATATGTGATTAAACTTGAGAACCAAGTTCCAAAACGAAGCGTGATGTTCATTTACTTCTGTCGAATTGAAGGATGAATATTTGAATTTGATATATTCAATTATTTTGGATATAACAATTATGTCGGCGCGCGTGTGTGTGTGTGTGTGTGTGTGTGTGTGTGTGTTTTCTGCATCGTTGGTGAAATAGATTTTAATTAGCTAAAATTTAACATTTGTCACATTATATAACATTTGAGATACCTATTCTCATACAATCTGTTAGTTGAAAATTGTGATTTTTTTGTCTTTTAAATAAATAATTACAATTTTTACAAATAATTTTAATAGAAACTACAGAATATTAGAGGTTTCATAAGAAACTGTTCTTAAGCCTTATGGAATTGAACCATCAAGCTTTAGCTTTTAGACGAAGTGCCAACAAGCTCTGCTATTGCACCAAGTCCCATCACGCAATGTTATTATACGAAGTGATACCAATTATTATAAGAATTGCCGTCAAGCTTGGTTATTATACGTAATATCATCAAGGTCGGTTTTTATAAAAAGTACCATCAAGTTCTGTTATTACATGAAATGCCATCAAGCTCTCTGTTCTTATAAAAAGTATCAGCATACTCTATTATTATACGAAATGCCTTCAAGCTCATTTATTAAACGAAGATCCATCAAGAACTGTATTATACGATGTGCCATCAAGCATTATTACTCGAAGTGATATCAAGCATTATTATAAGAAGTGTCGTCAAGCTTGGTTAATATACGTAATAACATCATAGGTTTTTATAATTACCATCAAGTTTTGTTGTTATATGAAGTTCCGTCAAGGTCGGTTTTTATAAGATCAAGCTCTCTGTTATTATTCAAAATGTTTTCAAGCTCATTTATTATAGGAAGATCCTTCAAGCACTATTATTATAAGAAGCGTCATCAAGCCCTGTTTTTTACCCTAACCATCCCTAACCAGTATTATACGAAAAGTTTTCAAACTTAATATTTTCGTAGTCCCATCAAGAGCTTTATTATGCGATATGCCTTCAAGCTTATTATTATACGCAATGCACAATATTTATGACAAGTACCATCAAGCTCTGTATTATATGACGTCCCATATAATATTTGTTATTATACGACGTTCATTAAGGTATATTATTTTACGAAGTACCATCATGCTATGTTATAATAAGAAGTGCCATTAATTGTAACTTAAAACGTCAACGTATCAAGGGATTATTATTAATGTTACTTCTAAGGTAAGAAAATTAGACAGGGAATACGAAAGCAGTACATATTTGCCCAGATTTTAATTACAAAATCCAACGCATCTTGGAGGTATGCATGTTTAAGTTTTGTTTAAATGTTTTTACAATTTGTGAAAGGTAGGCCGAAGGATAGAGAATTGTCTGCCTTAACGGTGCTCAAATCAATCAATCTCCATTCGTTGGATATACATTTTCGTCAGAATTTCACCTGAAAAAAGGGAAAACAGATTAACTTTTCCCTCTGTCATCGACACAATGGACACACAATTCGCTTCTTTTCGCTTATCCGCTTCGAACAAAGGGCTCATAATGAAAGCGGAAGGCTGTGAATTCTCCTGTTAATATAATAATCCCAACATATACTTCTCAGATAAATCAAGCTCGTATACAACATATTACGAGAAAGCGTGGCCGTTAGGCCTAGAAGGTGGCTGGAATAACCCAACCGTATCATATATCACGTCTAATATTAAATCTAAATTTTAATTAAAACTGTCAATTAGCGTCATATAGCTTTTTTCTAGAATATAAAAAAGCCGGGGGAGGAGCAATTCGTTACCGCTCATAACTGACTATTTTTTCATTAACATTTTTACATCGAGAGGAAAAATTGCATTACCATACAAAATTATCAAATAATTTCCCCAACGTATTTTGTCTCTTCAATGGTCTTTTAACGTTCATTTCTAAAGCACCGACGGCATAAAAATTGATATTTTGTGATAATAGGAAGAAAATGGAAGGTTAAAAACTAATTTGATCTTTTTGTATTAGGCATTTTTCATCATTTTTACTTAAATATAATTTTATTTAAAGAAATGATCATACTATAACGAAATGATATTATGTAAATGCTGGTCAATCTTAATAAAAGTTTGATATTTACAGTACAGTTATTGGTGAGATCAACTTTTTTTCGAAGGACAAATGTGTGGGGTTCCAGCTCAATTAAGCATTAAACAATCCTATGTTACATAACGAACGTGGTTTGTCGTGGAAGACTACAGGAATGGTTTTTGTTTAAAAGGAAAACTATTTGATGGGTTTTGTTTTCATTGACCCTGATTCTCCAAGGCAGTTGATGTGTTGTTGGATCGAGCGGAAGGATATGACAGAATCAGGGTTAAGAAAGAGAATAGACTGTCATCGGCTAATACGGAAGGTCAGCAGAGTAGAGGTTACTGAGGAGGGTGCCAGTATATTTCTTGAAGAAAACCAGAGAGGAGAATTTTAAGCTACGAAAAAGTGATGTACAAGAAAGAAGCAATAGATGGAAGGACGTATTGTATTACGTTTCCACAATAAGAATAATTACTGTTTTAGAGTTGTCCGAAAGATATCCGGACAATACTGGTTCAACTCAAAGCCGGTAGGTCATCCTACGGATAGACAGATAATGTAGCAGATGGAAAAATGTCCTGATCTGAGTATGTGTATAGGTATTTTCCCAAAAATTGAAATTGTAATTATTTTCCGTCTCCTGCATTTTAAATAAAGCAATTCGGACGTAAAAAAATACAGTCACAAACGTTATTACTAACGGGCAACTCGGAGGGTAGAAACAATTTTCTCATCGCAAATCAACGTAAATTGCGAGGGATAACTTGTTAACTTAAATAAAACAAGGTTAAATAACTGAAAATCAATTACGATTCAGCGTGGCTGGGTGTCAAATAAGGGAAAATTAATTTGTACCATGATTCTTAACTCTGAGTCCCACTCCTGAAGCGGTCGTAATTGAATTTTCTCTTGTTATCCATTTTTACTGAAAGGTTAACGTTAACAAGTCTACATTTCAACGACTCTGCCTCCTTAGTTGAAGTTTCCAAAGTTTTGCTTGTTAAGAAAAACATTGGTAAAATATCCACGCTAAATAATTATAAATGTCAATCAACATAAAATTGTTGCTATTAGGTCTTCAGTATTAGTACTAGTCTGCTATTTTCTACTTTCGTCTGTTGACGACATGCTGTTCTGTCAAAATCTGAAACGTTTTGGTCTAACTGAATGACTTTCCATAATAGATTCATTTTCAAGAATAGTCCTCAGTGCAAGTAATATTACGGCGGCATTTTAATCAGTATGCTTTTTACCACAAAACTTATACTTTAAAANTATATATATATTATATATATATACATAAAAGGTCGTTTTTATTTATTTTCAGTCTAGTCAGGACGGTCGTAAAAATCAGATATCGAGGCAGAATGTTTCATTAAATGTGTAAAATCTAATCAAATATAATGCAATTTCCATCCAATTAAGCGATGAGGGCAAGAGTATTTTTAAATGCTGTAATCTAATTTTTAATGTCTTAACAAATACAAAACTAAACAGAATTACGGAGGTAATTCATCCGATTACTGAAATTCCTTCTGGTAGATCAAGTAAAATATATAAAGAATGGAATGTATTGATATAAATTTATATGAGGAAAGACAACACTAAAAACCACGCAATTTGGTCGTTGCCAGTGATTTTTGTATGCCTATTTTCGCCAAATTTTGCACGATTCGTTATAACTAATATTTACCCAACCAAAATTTGCACGTTGAGACGTGTTGGTGCTTTACCGTATCATGTCTATGGCTCAGACCCAAACCCTAGGGTAGACAGACTAAAATTATTGGTAAAGTCCAAATTACAAGATCATCTCCCCCAAACCCATGAAAAAATGTCCCGATTTAATTAAAAAAACCAAACAAACAATAAGCAATGTGAAGGTAACCCACCTGGATTTGCGGAAACTCGAAACTATGACGTAATAAAGAATTCTTTTGTCCTTTATAGGGAGCGAGTAGGAACCAAAGCAGATATGAAAATTTTATTTTGGCAGACAGTGAGCCCCTGTTCAAATTTTTAAAGGAAACAAAGATGCTCTTTTTAAATATTTAAAAAATGTAATAGATGCATTTCGTGACAAATATATTGCAAGTTTGAATGTGTGGTGTAAATGGACCGATAGTGGAAAATTGAGTGCTTATACGTTGGGAAATATTTAAATAATACAAGGCAAAGTATTTGTATAATATTATATGAGACAATTTCAATTATTTCTCTGAGCCAATTGCCAAAGAAGCAAAGGCAAAAAAATCAACTAAAAAATGTTACCTAAAAGGCTTAACTTAGTAAAGCCATACGCGGTTACGGTATGGAACTTGAAGGATTCCTAGGTTCTTTACAGAAAGCGAGGAGGACTATCGCTTAATAAAAAAATTGCTGTTGGGCAATTAATTTCTATGCCCTCTGTTCAAATTTTGAAATGAGTCAGAGATGATTTCTTACATATATATATTTTTTTTAATGTAATAGATGTATCTTGTGCTAAATAAATGGTAAGATTGAGTATACTTATTAGCCTGAATGTGTTGAGCAAAAGGGTTGGTCCTGAGTACCACATCAACTATCAGTAATATTATTTGTATAATTTGGGTATAAGGGGATTAGTTTATTGCATTGTCATAATTGAGTGATGAGAAACAATGAATGGAGGTGTAAGTATGCTAAGGTTAAAACTGCATCCATTCGAAGCTGTGATAACATAGCTATCCCTATGGAACCTACTAAATTTTTGAAATAGAAAAGAAGATTAAAAAGATTAGATCACGTGGCTGAATGGATTAATATCTGACTGTAAAAATAACTGAAACATTATTTAACGAAAAACGAAGTTACCGTTTAATAGAAAATATTATGAGGAGAAGCGCTAGAAAATTCACCAGTATGCTGTTTCCTCCGGAAGTCCATTGAAATGGTACGTTTAGTAAAGAATACATAGTCGGATACCGGTACTCGCCGCATGCAGGCCCCCAGGACGTGATAGCCACCGCTTTGCCATTGCAGACCAAAGCACTTCCCGAATCGCCCGAGCAGACGTCTTCTCTGTCCGGTCCGATCCCGCAAATTTGATGACGTTTTTCTATATCGCCGACACATCTGGACTTCGGCGGTTCGCATAAAAGTTCCATGCAAGCTTCATAAGTCATGAGATTTATTTTAACTTCCTTCAGCACAGAGGAGAGCCCTGTGTAATGCGCTCCAGGCTTAACGATGACTTGTGAACCCCAGCCCATGGATCGACAGACCGCGCGCGACCTTATCATACTCTGCACATCATTCGCCAAGGAGATATTTTCTATTTGAATCGGCCGTATGTTATTCTGTATTTTCAAAATGTTGAAGGGATTCTTCAAAACGGCCAGGCCGTAGTCGTACACCCAGCCGTACTGTTTAACGTCGCACTTCTTGTGAGATAAAAACTGGGACACAAGCCTTTTCTGTGTTTGTTTCGACGTCCTGTCGATGCTTCCGGCTACAGCATATGTCTCGGTTCTCCAGAACAAAAAGTACCTCTTTTCTCGAGACAAACGAGCGCAGTGACAAGCAGATAAGACAGTTTTCTCTGTGAGAACGTTTCCACCACAAAAATGCCTTCCGAAGTCAAACTGGAAACTGACTGCGAACGGGTACGCTCCTTCTTCTGCGTAAACGCCGCCGATTATCTTTCCTTCACTGTGTAACAATCGACCTAAAGTAAAACGCGGATAAATCAAATATAGGCAAACAAGTCTCATAAAAACCATTATTATACGTATTATAAATATTTCTTTAAAAATATTATCATTAACATGTGAGATTCTATATAAAAAATAAACATCATAAATATTTGAACACTGCTCAACAAAAACTTTTTTTTTTTTTGGCGTTATGAACTATGCATATTAGCCATGTGACAATTCATATATGTGTGTTCAAATTTGGGGGGGTTATTGTGAAAAAAGGGCCAGAGGCGACGGTGGGAATCGAACCGACGACCGCGGCGTGTCTCTCATGCTAACCACTCGACTACCGCGGTCCCTACAAAAACGTTGTAAATGCTGAAAACCCCGAAATTTCTTATTGTTGTGACTTCCTACACCTTGCACAACAAAAGGATAAGTGATTAATGCGCTCCTTTTTAAAAAGGACGATAAAGGCTACCAAAGAAAACTTTGGTTTTATTGGTGTAAATAAATGTTTCTCATTGAATCAATGGTCTCAAGTTCCAAAAATATATCAGAGGAAGATTTTCATATTTTGATCTACACAATTGTTCCTTTTGATAGCAGTTCAGAAATTAACAAAACGTTTCTGAGCGTACTACCTGCCTAGGACCTCTACACTGTCGATCACATTCCCAGATCAGCTTCTTCGTAATCCTTCTGTCCTGTAAGCCCTGGATCCAGAAGACGAAGTATTGCTCTATTTCTACTTCTACTTACTATGGTAATGAAGTAGCCGTCTGCTGTACGTGATCAACCTAAAGTGAGGTGTGTGAAAGTGCTTTGATTTCAGGTTGTCAGTCAGATTAAAAAGCTATTTTTTGCCTTCTAATCCAAGCTTTTTTATCTTTTTGTGCAGTGATCAACGGGCACGATTTTCGGTTAAATTATTTGTTTGGCCATGCTACCTTATAATTTTCTTCCAAAAATACTGGCCCGCAGCCCTGTATCTTTTTTAAGCGGTCCATGTACCAAATAAAGTACACCTAACGTCTGGAGACATTCCCATTATTATATATGCTGAAGCTCTTTTAATAGTTATAACTCGTTGGCATTATTTTGTGGCTTTAATAACATCTCCACGCGTAATTCTCATGGCTGCATGAGGCAAATTTTACTCAGGACCCTTTTCTACACCCAACTGCAGAGTTTTTTTTTTCCACCATACAATTGTACCATGTTTTATCATTGGCCAGGGGATTCTTGTACAAAGCCGGCTGGTCATTTTGGGTCTTAAACTTCAGCCTTTTCTACATAACCTTTTACACCTCCCTAGGACAATTTTGGCTTTGTCTGTGACTTTTATTAGTAGTTGGTTGAGATGACTCAAAGGTATTTCAGCTTTTTAGCTATATCAATAACTACCTCATTTATCACCAACAGTTTTAAGTTGTGTTATTTTCTTCTTTCTTTTTTTGAAATGTTTCAACGCTTTATATTTTATTAAATTCTTTATTACCTTCTTCAATAGAGCTTTTACTTTTATTATATTATATGTTACACACAATAAATTATATATATTGTTTACTATAAAACCATCCCGAAATTGTTATTCTGAAGAATTCTGGTTTTTCCCAAAGGTATCTTGTCGGCTTAACATTATCCCACCGAATTACCCAGCCGTAAAACCCCGTTCCGGCGGAACGCCCGAGGCAAGAGAAGACTCAATCAAAAATCATACATAAATATGAGGCGTAATCAGAAAGCTTAATTTCTGCTCCCCCCTGAAGGGGTGTGTACAAAGTAGTCAAATGATCCTTGGAACAATTTCATTTCCCTTGCCGCCATCATCACTGGGGGCCGATCATTTCTTGAACAGGGGAATAAATTATTGTAACAATTATACGTAACTAGCGACAGTTTCTTGATAATTTTGAAATGTAAATCCTGGCATTATTGCTTCACCGAGGCATCCTTACGTGTAAAATTGCAATGAAGATTTTAGGACCTTTTTAAGTTTCCAGTTTCATACAACTTTCATTCAATATTATTATAGTTTTTTATATGAAATATCCAATTACGATCACTGAACTTATGTTGATTTTAATTCCCTTAAATAACAATATGTGGTTATTTGGTAAAAATAATGGATAAATATTAGGATTAATAGAGAAAATAGAAATTTATATAGAATAAAGATTAAAAATATTGAGAGAGAGAGAGAGAGAGAGAGAAAGACTGGAAAAAAGAAAGAGTCGGAGGGAGAGAGAGGACGAGATTAAGTCAAAAGTAGGTGAGAAAAAATGAAAGCGAATGAGAAAGAATGCGAGCGAGTGAGCGAGAGAAAAAGTGAAAGGGTGAAAAAAGTCGCGGATGCTCCATCACGAAATATTCACCTATATTTCTATGATTCTTCATCAAATTTCTAATTACCTAAATTATTTATTTTAAAAGTGTGATGTTAGAAGGCAGTTCTGGAAAAAAAGTGCTGAGATCTACAAATAGCCTTCAAGACAAATAGGAAATCTCAAAATTTTCTAGCATAAATAATGGCCATATTAAAAAAAGAACTGGAATATTGGATTTCTAAAGAAAACAACTTCTGTTGCGTTAACAACAAAACGCATCTTTTGCAAATCCCGGATTGCTGATGCAAAGAAAAGACTCCTGGAAACTAGGAAAGCCATTCATACACGACGAAGACTATTTTGAGTGGAATTCTATAGTTTAAATGCATAACGTCGTTTGCAATTGTAGTTTACTTTGATCAGAATAAGAACATTCCATCATTTAGGGACAATAAAAACTGGCTGAATTTGCTATTGATATAAAATTGCCACGAACACAACCACAACGCCCACATGACACTCAATTAAAAATATCAATAGAAAACACTTGCATATGCGCAAGGCACCTTTCTCCCAAACATACGTACTATAAGAAAGATTAGACTGAAATTACTAGATAGGTTGCTACGAAATACACAAATAGAGAGTAGATAGAGTTCATAATAAAGTTTAACGCAAACGAGACTGGAGGTGTGTGTGTGTGTGTCGCGCGTAAAAGAGAGAGAGAGAGAGAGAGAGGGTGTGTGGGAAGGAGGTAAAGAGAAATAGAGAAAGAGAGAGACTGTTAAAGTGGAAGAGATAGAAAAAATAGATAGATAGATGAGGTAGAGAGATAAACAGTTAGAAAAGTAGGAAGATATGTTGAATAAAAATTTAATATTACAGGCAATTAATATCAATTTTATCAAAAGGATATAAGCGGGGAAAGATAGTAAGAACTAAAAAGGGAGCGAGAGTAATAGGGTAAGAGAAAGATAGTAATAAAGTGAGAGAAAAGTGGAAGAGAGAGGGAGAAGAAAAGGGTGAGAAATTGCGTGGAAAAGAAAGAGAGAGAGATAGAGTGTGTGAGAGAGAGTGAGAAAAACTGTGAGAATAGAAGGTAGAGAAAAATATAGATAGATAGATAACGTATATATGTATATACAAATAGATGGATAGAAAGATTGAGAAATAGAAAGCCAGAAAAACAGACAAAGAAAAATATAAACCGACAGGGAGAGAGAGAGATTGCAATATTTGTCGACATCAGCGCTGCGTTTGACTCCCTCTGGTGGACAGTTGTAGTGGACTGTATATCAAACCATGGTGTGCGAGCCGACGTCACCCTACTTGTGAGGAATAGAGGTAGACAGATGCATAATATATGACAGTGGCCAAAGCATTCACACTCACAGTTCAAGCAAGGGTTGCCCAGGGTTCCATAATAGGCCCCCTGATATGGAACGTCGTTTTCAACGACCTACTACGAGATCTCAGGGCAGAAGGCGTGAAAAGCGTGGCTTACGTCGACGATCTAGTAATTCTAGCGGAAGGCAACGTCATAACGGAAGTACTAACCGCAGGACAGCGAGCTATTGGCGTCATTGGAAAGTGGTGTAAAAAACAAAAACTTAATTGCAATAGCCAAGACCCACGCCCTGTTGGTAAAAGAAAGAATCATAGGAAACCTCAGGTTTATTCACAATGGAGACATGATAGCAGTGGTTGATGAGGTGAAATATCTAGGAGTAACCCTAGGTAAGAACTTATATAAGGCAAAAATCTTAAGAAAGTACAGCAAATTAAGCTGGATCATTAAAGCAACATGGGGATATAACTACCACGGCAATGTCAATATGTATAAAAGCATCTGTCTAGGCGTACTACGTCACGCATCCCCGCCTGGCAACCATTAGTGAAGAAAGCGGACTTAAAACTCTTGGAACAAGCCCAAAGGAAAGCTCTACTGCTAACAACAAAGAGCTACCGTACAGTTTCAACAGTGATAGCTGGGCAGTTGCCAATAGATCTGGAATTAGAGATTGCTGTAGTAAAATACAATATAAAAGGAACAGAAAACGGAAAAGAAATAATAAACAGGAAAGTAGAAGAATGCTTGCAGAATAGGTGGACGACGTTAGAGAAGGGCGCCATCACAAAGATTTACTTTCCTGACGTAATCGCCAGATGGAAGATGAAGCATATAGCTCCAGACTGTGTAATCTCCCAATATTTAACATGGCACGCAAATTTCCCCGCCAAATTACACATATTCAAATGTGTAGACTCACCGCTTTCCCTATGTGGTTCACCAGCTGATGCAATGCACGATACCCTTCACTGTGAAATCTATGCGTATGAAAAATACTGTCTGGAAAAAAAACTTGGACAAGATTATTACGGAGGCAAACCGAAAGAAACAATCGCACGCCCTGTAGAGTATAAATTATTTTCAGACTTCATTAAAAAAATAGCCCAAAAATACATGAATGGCAAAGGCAATTAATTCAACTTCAAAGTGACACAACCTGTCTTGCTATTGCGGGCTACACACTATTTATTTACGGCCATTTTCCGTAGTAACAATTTTGACACCGTTGTTAATTCTGCTTAAAATGTGATGTTTATATTGTAAATTATTTATTTATTCATATTTATGAAAATCGTTAGAAATTCATTGCATCTATATTTATTTATCTAATTATATATGAATATATTTATTNTAGAACATAAACCACTAAGCACAAAAATTGAATAGAATTACAAAACCCTCCGACGCGGCAGCGAGAGGCAACAAGCCGTAGATACAGCCGGTAGAA